TTATATTATATTGTATTATATTATATTATATATTAATTTAACCTTTCAAGCTTCTTTTCTAGTTGTTGAGCATTGTTCAAGAGAAGGAGCATTTTCTAGAACATTTCATTTGTAAGTATTATATGCAGATACTTTTTTTTAAACTTGCGAGGATCTGATGATATTACACAGAAGAAAAGATGGCAAGCTAAGTGCTACAAGCACTTTCATATAATTATGCACCATGTTTTCTGCAGGTTCGTGAGGAGAGTTGTGGGTTGTACCTCGGTACTGCGCTCAAGTAATGAATGTGACATACTTGTACGTATTTGTACATACATACTAAGACAAGACAAGTTAAGATAAGATCAAACAAAAACCCCCAAAACATTATGTGAAATATTGTTTAGCAAATAAAATTATATAATATAAATGCAGCCTAGTAGAAAAGCAATAAGATAGAATACATCACGGCAAATAAAACAGGTCCATTAAAATAAGAATAGAATTGATGAGCAAAGCACTGAGGTAGTAAAGTAATATCTAAATTGACAATGAAATATTGCATTTAAAATTGAAATATTGCACTTGAAAAATGAAACAATACAAATAACAATAATTAAGTGTGTAATTAATAACATTGCACATTGAACACAACACTTGTGTACTGACCTTTATTGTGCATTCCAATTATATGGCACATATTGAGCAGTTGAGACTTTCTTGTCTAAACTTTCCTGTATTCTAAAAATGTTGAGAAGTGGCCTCACTGTCAGAGACAGCCTTCTGGTTAGTCACTGAAATCTGAGATAGTCCACCTTGTGGCATACGGACCAGAGAACTACGTATGCCTCAAGGTCTACAGCATCTAAGATTTCCCATCTAGACCTAATAAGGATTAACATCTAGCCACCATGTGCAGGAGACCCAACCGCAACAGTCTTCTTCTTTAGGAAAGTTTAACGCTCTGCTGTTGAATCACAAATAATACATCAATACAATCTAACTCCTGAAATGAGAACATCTCCAGAAAGCCCTCTCTGAATCTTTCAGGGCCATTTCATACTTTCCACTCTGAGGCCTAGTGTCAATATGACATTTGGCACATCAACCTAATCCGCCTTAACATGATAAACGTGGTGCCCTGCATTTCTCTGTATTTGCTTAGCAGGTCTTTATATGGAATAAAATGCACTCTGCATCTCTGCCTCTGCTCAGCAAGTCCCCACATGGTGTGTCTGACGTTCTGTGAGTCAAATGAGGAACTTCTCCACTTCACAATCCTTTCTTTGGAAAGATGCTAAGCTGCCAACAAAGTCTATAAAACATGCAGAAGCTGCCAAAGATTTCATAAGAACATAAAATGAGCCACCAATTAATAATAATCAGCACAAGGTATAACAAGGGTTTACAGTGAAAGTTATCATCGAAAACAACGCATAATGATGATGATTAATAGGTTAAATCAAGAAATACTGAGCAGAATAAAGGTAAGGTTAAAAACAAGGATTAAAAACGAGCCTCTGGGTACATTTAGACCTTAAGATGAATATATGAGCTTCTTCACTATGAGCATGCAAGACTTTAATCGTGTGGGATCGGCCGTATTTAAGCACAAGGATAGAAGCACACATCAAAACCTTAAAAAAAAAAAAATTAAGGATAGAAGCACACATCAAAACCTTAAAAAAAAAAAAATTCCTACAGGACAAATTGGAACAAATTAATAATGTAAAACCTAACTTGGAATACTTGAGTAAATAAGGATATTATGAGAAGCCTGTTATGTTTAATTTATGAAGATTAGGGTTGTAAAAAAATAATTTTCTGACTTTATTTGTTCACAGTTTTATTCTATGAGCCTCTTCGGCAAGTGTTACTTTTACTTTTATGTACGTTTAAAGACAGGACTTTTGCTTGTGAATTAGTATTATTTTACACTGCAGTATGACCACTTTTAGTTAAGTAAAACATCTGAATGCTTCTCTACCTCTTTTGGACGCACGTGTGGGTGCATGTGTGGACTTTTTGCTGTGCTTTGACAAGGAACAGATTCTGAGGGAGTTTTTTTTTTTCCCTTTTTTTCTTCCCATTTGAAGAAGTTTCCAGGATTGCTGCTGTCATTCATCTCACAACGGGAATTCCTTTGTATGTCGACCTTTGACACGCAGACTGATCAGGCACATCTTCTTTCTCAACATCTTTCTCCTCGTGCAGAACATCCTGTTTGGCCAAATTTGGAATATTCTGAACGCAACATAGCACTGACCTCATAG